AGAGGGAGGGAAGGGGTGACTAGTGGCAGAGTGAGGGAAGGGAGGGGTGACTAGTGACAGAGTAAGGGGATGACTAGTGACAGAGTGAGGGAGGGGGTGACACAGTGATGGAGGGAGGTGGTGACTAGTGACAGAGTGAGGGAGGTGGTGACTGTCACTAGTCACCACCTCCCTCACTCTGTCCCTAGTCACCCCTCCCTCTGTCACTAGTCACCCCTTCCCTGCCTAACTGTCACTAGTCACACCCTCCCTCTCTCTGTCACTAGAGTGATGGGGTGACTAGTGGCAGAGTGAGGGAAGGAAGGCGTGACTAGTGACAGAGTGAGGGAGGTGGTGACTGTCACTAGTCACCAGCTCCCTTACTCTGTCACTAGTCATCACCTCCCTCTGTCACTACTCCCTCCCTCCTTCTATCACTAGTCACCCCCTCTGTCCCTCACTCTGTCACCAGTCATCCCCTCCCTCTGTCACTAGTCACCCCCTCACTCTAGTGACAGAGTGAGGGAGGGTGTGACTAGTGACAGAGAGAGGGAGGGTGTGACTAGTGACAGAGGGAGTGGGTCACTAGTGACAGAGGGAGTGGGTCACTAGTGACAGTAAGGAAGGGGATGACTAGTGACAGAGTGAGGGAGGGAGTGGGTGACTAGTGACAGAGTGAGGAAGGGGGTGACACAATGACAGAGTGATGGAGGGGGTGACTAGTGACAGAGTGAAGGAGGTGGTAACTGTCACTAGTCACCCCATCACTCTATCACCTGTCACCCCGTCACTAGTCACCCCCTCACTCTAGTGACAGAGAGAGGGAGGGTGTGACTAGTGACAGAGTGAGGGAGGGAAGTGGTGACTAGTGAGAGTGAGGGAGGTGGTGATTAGTGACAGAGGGAGGAATGGGGTGACTATCACTGTGTCACCCCCTTCCTCACTCTGTCACTAGTCACCCTCTCCCTCCCTCACTCGGTCACTATTCACCCCCTCTCTCACTCTGTCACCAGTCATTCCCTCACTCTGTCACCAGTCATCTCTTCCTTCCCTCACTCTGCCACTATTCATCCCTTCCCTCACTCTGTCACCAGTCATCCCCTCACTCTGTCACTGTGAAGGAAGGAAGGGGTGACTAGTGACAGAGTGAGGAAGGGGGTGACAGTGATAGTCACCCCATTCCTCCCTCTGTCACTAATCACCACCTCCCTCACTCTCACTAGTCACCCCTTCCCTCCCTCACTCTGTCACTAGTCACACCCTCCCTCTCTCTGTCACTAGAGTGAGGGGGTGACTAGTGACAGAGTGAGGGGGTGACAGAGTGAGGGGGTGACAGGTGATAGAGTGAGGGAAGGGGTGACTAGTGGCAGAGTGAGGGAGGGAGGGGGTGACACAGTGACGGAGGGAGGTGGTGACTGTCACTAGTCACCCCATCCCTCTCTCTGTCACTAGTCACTCCCTCCCTAACTCTGTCACTGTGTCACCCGCTCCCTCACTCTGTCACTAGTCACTCCCTCCCTAACTCTGTCACTGTGAAGGAAGGAAGGGGTGACTGGTGATAGAGTTAGGGAGGGAGTGACTAGTGACAGAGAGAGGGATGGGGTGACTAGTGACAGTCACCCCCTCCCTCCCTCTGTTACTAGTCACTCCCTCACTCTGTCACCAGTCATCCCCTCACTCTGTCACCAGTCACCCCTTCCCTCCCTCACTCTGCCACTAGTCATCTTTTCCCTTCCTCACTCTGCCACTAGTCACCCATTCCCTAACTCTGTCACTAGTCACCCCCTCTCCCTCCCTATGTCACTAGTCACCCCCACTCACTGTGTCTCCCCCTCACTCTGCCACCACTCAACCCCTCCCTCCCTCCCTCACTCTGACACCAGGTACCCCCTCACTCTGCCACCTGTCACAACCTCCCACACTCTTCCACCTGTCACCTTCTCCCTCACACACTGTCACCTGTCACATATGTATTCACACAGACACTATATACAAAAAAAGCACATGTAGTAATCCCGACATGCACAAGTGCATTCACACAGACTCAAATACAAACATGCATTGATACACAGGTCTTCACAATATACACATCCAAAGGAATGCTGTATTATGAGTTATATTTAACATTTATTTAATGCACATATATTTGGCCTTCAAAGGGCCTGGGATCCAATTTTGCCCGGGGGCCCCAAAGGCTCTCAGTCCGCCCCTGCATACATCCAAGCAATCAAACACCAACACAACAGACAAACTCACCCCTGCAATCAAACACAAACATTACATACAAACACACCCATGCATTTAACTCCACGATGAAATACAAACACACCCCTTCATTCAAACAGAAATTCTATACACAAATGTGCACCCACATTTAAAAGCCAACACTACATACAAACACACCGCTGCAATCAAACGCAAATATTATAGACACACACCACTGTATTAAAACATTAAAATTATATACAAACCCTTTCATTCAAACACAAACACTACACCACTGCATTCAAATGACAACAGTACATACAAATACACCCCTATATACATGAACATACTATATACAAGCACATGCTTTCATTCAATTGCACAAACACTGCTCACAAATATAACCCTGCAAGGATAAGCAAATTGTAGATCCCTAGCTGGCATAGCATCATGAGAATTGTACAACAGATGGGAATCTACCTTTTGACCACTCTTTCTCTAGAGGAAGGCCAAAAAGAATGTATTGCTCCAGGGCCCTCTCTACATTAGTTCTGCACTGGCGTCAGCATTTTGTCTTTTTGTATTGTCAATGTTGATGCACATGTCTCATAGATGCTTACCTTGTACATTCCAATTGTTTCAGTTAAATGTCTGAATAAACATGTTGTTTATAAAAACAGTAAGTGTGTTTAACCCCTTAAGGACGGAGCCAAATGTACACGTTGTGAACAAAACAAAATGTAAACAAAACCTGGCATTTGCGCTACATGTCTGTCCAACCGTAATACACCTCTTTCATAGTAAATGCACCCACCCTTATTATATATCATTTTATTCAGGGAAACAGGGCTTTCATTTAATATCAAATATTTAGCTATGAGCATAATTTAATATATAGAAAAAATGGGAGAAAATGTCTGATTTTACATTGGATTTTTAGTTCTATGACAATTAAACAGCAGTCAATGTCATAATACTATTTGCTTTTACTGCAATAAAATACACATATTTGTATTCAGCAAAGTCTCACGTGTAAAACAGTACCCCCTATGTACAGGTTTTATGGTGTTTTGGGAAGTTACAGGGTCAAATATAGCACGTTACATTTGAAATTGAAATTTGCCAGATTGGTTATGTTGCCTTTGGGACTTTATAGTAGTCCAGGAATGGAATTTACACCCATAATGGCATACCATTTGCAATAGTAGACAACCCAAGGTATTGCAAATGGGGTATATCTAGT